GAAAGCGGGGTGGTGCCCACAGCACCCCACTGGCAGCTGTCACACGTGGGGATGAGAGGGGACTGTCACATCACACACCAGGAACTGAAGGTACTGCTGTGGCAGTAAAGCAAAAAAACCCATTCTCCGAGCAATTGCTGGCAATTAATGGCCGTTCCCAGGAATGAAATGTTAATTAATTCATTCCCCGAGCCATGCATTTATTTAAGGTATTTGTGGGTGTTCTTGGTACTTTTATTAAGCAATTAAAATGCGTCCAAGAAAATATTTATCCATTTTAAGTAATTCCTAGTAAACACAATTTATATGGCAAGCGACCACTTTATTTGGAATTGTTAATTAAAAACGACGACGCACTCCACTTCCCCGGCTTATAGCACCACCGGAGTGCTGGTTCAAGGAGCAAACCCCCTGCTGGCAGCTCCCGAAATCCTCCTTGTGGGTCTGTAGGATGGATTTGGGCGGAGTCCAGAGAGCCCCAGCAACCCCGTGTTGCCCTCCAGTAGTTCCTGTGCTGCTTCTGGGAGGAGCCATGGCCCGATGAAGACCTTCCTAAAGAAGACTTTGTTCAGCTCTACAGCCTTCCCAGGGCTGGGAAGTCAGTACCTTGTTCAGGCTGGCTGTGTGTTGAAGAATTCCAAGCCTGTGTGGCAGAGCCAGAGGGATGTATTTGCCAGGCTGAGCTCGGGCAGTGCTCAGGAGGATGATGCACGTTGGTGATGCTCCTCCAGGGACCCACGCTCTGTAGGGCTTGTTGTGCTCTTGCTCTGACTGTGGTGAGCTCTTTGTGGGCTCCACCAGCCTGAAAGCCCAGCCAGAAACAGGGTTCTGGGGAAAAAAAGGATGGAGCTGCTGGGTAAAACCCCCTGTGCAGAAGGAGACCTGGCAGACCAGCCCACTGAGAGCCTGGGAGGCAGCACGGGCGCATCATCCCGGGTTTTGGCAGGTTTCCTTTGGAAACCAGAGCAGAAGAGGAAAAAACATTGACAAATGAAAACCAAAACAAAACCCAGGCGTTGCTTGGGAGCTGACAAATCCCAAACTGTCCATCCTTGTTTGCTTGCATGTACTCTTAGCTGGGAAGTGATCGATGGAGTCAGAAAAATGCTATTTCCCTGAAGAATGTCTCCTTAGAAAAGTCCCTCCCTTCCTCTTCAGTGTAGGTATTCTATTTTTTGTTCATTCTTTAATCACCAGCTTTTCAGTGCTGTCTGTACTAACCCCTTTGAAACTTGGATCAAAATATCTCTTTCCCGGTTGAAATTTGTTTTCCTCCATCACCCGAGCAGGTTCAATTTGCAGAAGATACTGAATTGGGAGGCACCAGGTACTCCCTCAGAGAGGCCAGAGGAAAACAAAGGCACGTCAGAAATATGGGAAAGGAAATAACGAAATGAAACTCAGCCAAGAGGGGAAGAAATGCCCATCTGGGAAAACAGGCTGAGATGGTGCTTGGTGAAGAGAAAGGAAGAGGGGAAAATGTGCACATCTCTGTTATGGGGACAGGCTGGGAGAGCTGGGGGGGTTCAGCCTGAAAAGGGAAGGCTCCAGGGAGACCTTAGAGCCCCTTCCAGTGCCTAAAGGGGCTCCAAGAGAGCTGGAGAGCCTTTGGACAAAGGCCTGGAAGGACAGGACAAGGGGGAATGGCTTCCCACTGCCAAAGGGCAGGATTAGGTGGGATATTGGGAAGGAATTCTTGGCTGTGATGGTGGTGAGGCCCTGGCACAGGTTGCCCAGGGAGTGACAGGAACAGGTCCTGTGGGCAGGATCCCCACAGACACACCCTCAACCCTCTCCTGGGGCAGGAGGAGCCCACCCTGCCCAGACCTGTCCCTGCAGGGGGGTCTGGCTTAGGAAAAATAACAGCAGCAAACAGGGACAGGTCACTTTGCAGCCAAGTGATACGGGGAGAGAGTAAAGGAGGTAAATTTATATAGCCTGGAAAAGACCCTGGGAGGCATGTTTGCAATCCATAAATACCTTCAAGGGAACAATATAAATGAAAGGAGTCCCTGCTCTCCAGGGTGGACAAGGAGCGCTGGCTGGGAGCCAGGCTTGGTGCAACACGGCCCGGGAGACGTGAGGAAGAAATCATGTAGAGCCAGGAGGTGATGGATGGGGCTGCTGGAACGTCCTCCCGTCTCCTCTGCCCTCTTTTATTCAGATTCTGTTTATAAATAATTACTGAAGGGTTAATAGGTGAGTAGGACACGTTATGGGCTCGTTAAAACCCTGAGTAAGTTGCCCTCTGGCCGTCCACGCGCCCATCACGGGAAGCTTTACAACAGGGTTATCAGCTGCTGTTATTAAAAACCAATTTGACATTATAAAAGATCTATACTGCTCGTTCAGCCACATTGATTTAGCCGTGTTAAGCCTTGGAAAACGGGAGCAAGAACCTTGATCTCTGCTGAAGCACGAAAAATTGCCGTTTGTGACACATCTCCGCGCTCGGGAAATCCCGTTTTGCGGAAGCGATGGGTTTTGAACCAGCCATAAAGCACCGTGCCACGGTTGTTGGGGGGTGTTTTCCCACGCAGCTGCAGTGCCAAATAGCTCTCGGAAACCTCGGCCTCAGTTTTGCGACACCCAGGAAGATCTCAGCTGAAGTCTGCCCGGCTCAAATCCACCTGCTCCGGCTGGTCCCAATTCCCGGTGCCCTCCGTGTCTCTGCTGGGAGGAGGAGCTGCAGGCAGGTGCAAGGACATGACCCAGAGAGCCCACAAGTCACTTTATCCTTATCTTGAAGCCTCCTCCTTGTCCTTTGCAGAGCAGGGAAGCTGGATTTGTGCAAAAGGGGAGTGGCCAGCACAAGTGAAGCTCTGGATTCTCCCAAAGGTTTGGGGCTCCATCTCATCCCATTGAACACTGCAAGGAAATGGCCTCATGTACCTGATGTCTCCCTCAAGCGCCTGAGGAGCAGAACAAGACCCTTCAGAGGCTGGAAATTTGCTCATGGCTGGGAGCCTCTACAGGGACAAAGTTGTAAAAGGACTTAAAGGAGCAGAAATGTTCCTGGCAAAGAGCACAAGGCATTGTGGTGTTCACTAGTTGGAATTTCCCTGTCCCTCGAGCATTCTACCTTCCCTCCTTCCTTGCTTTCATTCATCAGAAGTTCCTGAAATGTGGATTCAGGGCTTTGTGACCAGCAAACCAAACAGGAGACCACGAGAACGTGTGTCCTCTCCATCCCACAAGCCGTGCAAAGCTTCAGGGACAAGATCTCAGAGCTCTGTCAAGTCCCTCCATCCCTCTCCTGCCCCATCCCCGAGGAAGAAGCTGCTGCTGCAGCGCTGGCAGATGCTGTCCCCGATGGGCAGCAGCGTTCCTGCGGCAGGGAGGCAGCGGGGCAAGGCAGATCCCGTCGGGAGGCAGGGAAGCGGGACGCTGAGATCAGCCCTGCTGGCTGACCCCTTGCAAGCCGCTTGGCTCGGGTTGCAGTTCCCTCTGGGAGGAGAAAGGCGTCACCAAAGCACCACCGACCGCTCAGACCTCTGGAGCAGCACCTGGAAGGCGTCGCTTGTGCTTTTTTTTTCCATAGGGAACCTCCCTCATTAACACACGAAGCGCAGCCCTAGAAATAAAACCGGCATCTCCTGATTAATTACTGAAGGGGGAGGCCGGGGAGGAGCAGGGGAGGGGAGGGAAGCTGAAGTGGCCAGTCAGCATCTGTTAGAGGTGCAAAGATAAATGGAAAGTGAGGGCAGGTCAGTGCATACAAATCACTTCCATCTGCCCACGAACAGATCCCAGAACGCCGTGTCATCGGGGGGGCGAGGCTGTTCGGAGCTGGCAGGAGTCACTGAGGGGCACATTAACAGGTGCTTGAGGCTCTGGCAGCACTCCGGGTGTTCTCCGCCCTGCCAAGGACCAGCTTTTCACTCTCACTCCAGCCCCACAGAGGCACTTCTGTGCCTGCAGAGCCTCGGCAGGAGCTCCCTGCAGCTCCAGTCGTCCTTGGTGCCTTCGGGCAGCAGTGAAGCAGTGGGGACCAAGCAGAGCGATGGGAGTGAGCAGAGAGCAGCAGGAGACTCGTGGGAAGACTGAGCAGGTGCCTTTCACCTTGAGGGAACAGCCTTCCCAAAACCACCCCACGGACCCCACATGGGAAGCAGCCTCTGGGGCTCCTGCCTCTCTCCAGAGCCCATCTCCCAGTGGGGTATCTTTACCAACCCACCCAGCACAATCAGAGGGCAGCCCCAGGACAACAGGGCAGAGATTCCTCAGGCAAACCCTGTCTCCTCCAATTTACCTATCACTTGTTTGGGTGGGGGGGATTATTATATGGTTTTTCCCAGGCTTTCTTTCCCTTCCCCCAAAGAGTGGCTGAATTTTCACACTGCCTGACAGCATCTCCTGCCTTTCCCACCCGTTCCCGAGTGGCAGGTTGCCAGATGGTGCCCCATTAGGTCACATTTGCTCATTGTTTGGCAAACAGCGGCTTAATTCAAGTGCTGAGTTGACAGCTTGTTCTCCAAGACAATTTGCAAGTCGCAGTGTTGCAAATGCCAGCTTGGCTTTTCGGGGGAATGTTATTTCAGCTGCCTTAAAGGGATAAAGTTCTCTTTGACTGGGGGAAAAAAAAATAAAAGGAAGAAAAGGTTGAAAGTGGGGGGCAGCTGAAAAGGTTTTTAGTGGGTTTGATGTGGAAGGATGTTATTGGCAAGTGTTCAGGGACTGTGGTTCCCCACCAGCAGAGACCCTCCATGTCCCATCCCTCCCATCACTGAGGTTTTCACAGTTCTAAGGAATGAGGTGCATTCCCAAAGGTCTCAGTGGGGATACAGGTCCACATCGCTTTGGTGGCCCCTCTCCAAAACCTGCAGCTGTAATCCCCACATCCCTACATTCCAGGGAAGGGAACAGTGCTGAGGACACATTCATGTCCCTGCTAAAGTCAAGGGGCTGTGCTGCCCCCAGCTCTACGACCTGTGCACACGTGGAGATGACAGGAGACACACGACAGCAGCACCATGGTGATGCTCTGTTTGCTCCAACAGGTGGGCAAAAAAAGGCCAGGTTATAAAGGAAGCCTCTGGTGACTTCTATGAAACCATTGTGGACCACACCTTCTTCTTTGAGCCCGTCTCCTGCGAGGTCACCAACGCCCTGGGCAGCACAAACATCAGCAGGACCGTGGATGTGTACTGTGAGTACCCTGAGTCCAGATTCCCGGGGTGAGCAGGAAGGGGACACGGCTTGGTCTGACGTGTCCAGGGTGACCAGGACTTGCTGGGCTCTCCTGCTGCTCAGACTTTGTAAATGCTCCAGTGGTGGGACCCCTGATTTCCTTATGAGCTCATGGGGTGGTCCCAGGGGAGCTGGTCCCTCTGAGGCTGCAGCAGCACCCCCTGAGCTCTCTGGTGTGAGGGTTCTGGCTGGCACAGCCCAGCACTGGCAGTAACCCCGGGCTCCTCTGTGCAGTTGGGCCCAGGATGGCGACAGAACCACAGTCCCTCCTGGTGGACCTGGGCTCAGACGCCGTCTTCAACTGTGCCTGGACTGGGAACCCCTCCCTCACCATCGTCTGGATGAAGCGAGGCTCGGGCGTGGTAAGAACTGCTGTGGGAGGGGGGGCATGCTCGGGGCAGGGGGTGCTGTGGGATGCTTCCCATGGGGCAGAACACGTGCTCTGGGAGCTCCTGGCTGGATGAATGCTGGCTCTTCCTAATGCCAAGGAATCCCAAGAGAGAATTGATTCCCACGATGATGGGCATAAGGGTTGAACCCTGACCAGAGCAGCGCTTAACATCTCACTGATGGGCAGCGGTTCTGCAATTCACCTGCGGGCAGCTCCTTCTGGGATGGACCTTCCTGGGATGGTCCTTTCTGGAATGATCCACTCTGGTATGGTCCTTTCTGGGATGGACTTTCCTGGGATGGTCCTTTTTGTCACGGTCCTTCTTGAGATGGTCCTTTTTATGATGGTCCTTTCTGGGATAGTCCTTTTTGTGATGGTCCTTTCTGGGATAGTTGTTTTTGTGATGGTTCTTTCCGGGATGATCCTTTTTACGATGATCTTTTCTGGAATGGTCCTTCCTGAGACAGTCCTTTCTGGCTCCCAGATTTGGGAGCTCACATCCTAGTGCATCCACCCTGGCTCTCCCCGCTGTGGGCTGGAGCCTGTTTGAGTCGGGGGAGCCTGGATCTGTCCCAGCAAACTTCTCCACATCTCTCTTGTCCCAAAAAGCACAAGGAGCTTTGCCAATCGTCATCATGGCTCAGTTGGCCCAGGGAGGTGGGACATGCTCTGATCCCTCTTCACAGACAAGGAGGGCTGAGCAAAGCCCCCGGGAGAAGCTAAGGGAGGGCTGAGATGTGAAACCCATCCGGAGGCACAGGCAGGTTTGGGTTTGAAAAGCACCTTTCAGCTTCCCCTGGGCAGGGGTGTCCTGGAGTGGATGAGGCAGCGCTGCCACACACAGCTCAGGGCCGGACCCCCACGGAGTGAGGAGGGGCTGCCACCCTCCTCCCCTCGGCTCCCAGGGGCTCCAGGGCATTGAGACATCAACTGCTGGGCTGTTTGTTCACACCCATAATGACCCTGGTGAGGGCCATCTCCTGGGAAGTAATTACAGACTTGGGAGAGCCAATGGCTGGAATCAGCCAATGAACCCCGGTGGGTCAGTAGTCCCTGGGTGTTTTCCCATCCCATAGCTGCTGTTGTTGTTTCTCTGGGTTGTCATCATTGCAGGCAAGGCTCTCACCTCGCAGGCAGCTGTCCTGTGTTCTCAAGGCTGCTGGACCGTGCAGAGAGGCTGCAAGGAGCCAGGCACAGCGGGAACAAGGGCTGCCTCTGCCTTGTGCTCCAGCCCCAGCCACTCGCCAGGCCTTGCCTTCACTGCCCAGCAGTGCCAAGGCACAGCCGCCTTCTCCTGTTTTATCTGGCTCCCTCCAAGTGAGTCCTGCCAGCTTGGAACATCTTGGAGCAGGGCAAGGAGGGGATTCTGCCCCTCTACTCTGCCCTCATGAGACCCCACCTGCAGAGCTGCCTCTCCAGCTCTGGGGTCCTCAGCACAGGAAAGATGTGAACCTGTTAGAGCAGGTCCAGAGAAGAGCAGGGAGATGCTCTGAAGGCTGGAGCCAGGCTGGGAGAGCTGGGGGGGTTCAGCTTCGAGAAGAGAAGGCTCTGGGAGACCTCAGAGCCCCTTCCAGGGCCTAAAGGGGCTCCAAGAAAGCTGGAGAGGGACTGGGGACAAGGGATTGAGGGACAGGACACAGGGAATGGCTTCCCACTGCCAGAGGGCAGGGTTAGATGGGATATTGGGAAGGAATTCTTGGCTGTGAGGGTGGGGAGGCCCTGGCCCAGGTTGCCCAGAGAAGCTGTGGCTGCCCCTGGATCCCTGGAAGTGTCCAAGGCCAGGTTGGACGGGGCTTGGAGCAACCTGGGCTAGTGGAAGGTGTCCCTGCCCATGGCAGGGGTTGGAATGAGATGAGCCCTTCCAATACAAACCATTCCATGATTCTCTGATCTCAGGGCTCAGGATAGACCCTCCAGCTCGTTTAACCCAGTGAAGATGCTTATACTGGTCAGCAGAGCTGCCTTCATCTTCCCAGAGGGATGCTGGCAGGGGATGCTGCTTTGCAAAGCCATCAGCACCCAACCATCCCAGTGGGATGTGGGATCAGGGCTGTTTGTTTCCCAGCCCCTCTGCTTCCAGATCCAGGCTGATGTCTCACAAGATTGCCTTCTTTCTTCCTCTTTTCCCACAAGGAGGCAAATCAGAGACCAAAGGGAGGGTGAGGCCCAGAATGAGCAAGCATTTGTATGGATAACTCTGGAATTCCTGCTAAAACAGAGGGTTTAAAAGGGATCTGACACTCTGTGCCTCTGCCTCGTGCCAGGTTAGGACTGAGACCCCCACCTTCTTGCTCCAGGGAGATCAAGATCCCTGTCCAACCACCACATTGGCACTAATTCCTGGAGGCATCAGCTGTGGGAGCAGCAACCAGCAGAGCCAGGGGCTCACCCAGCCCGTGGGCACTGGAGGCAGGAGAGGTGATGGGCTGTGGCCTGCAGAGCCCTGGGGAGAGAGCCAAGGGCAACTGTGGGAGTTTTCTCCCAGCCATTCCACTCCTTGTTTTAGACCTGCCATGGTTTTTTAAATACCAGCAGGGCCAGGATCCTGCTGAGACCCTCAGCCAGGTCCCTCGGCTGCTGCGATTTTTCAGGTTTAATAAAGCTGCTCATTGCACAGTGGGGGCAGGGGGAGAGCAGACACATTGCAGCCAGTCTATAGGGGGGCTTGCCAAAGCCAGCTGAGATTTCCCTGGCTGTCCAGACACAATTCCCAGGCGTCTGCCACCTCTCCCACCACTTCTGGGCTTGAAATCCCCGAGCCAATCCCGGCAGCCTCCCCTGCACCCGCGAATGTGGAGACACAAGTGTGATTCTCTCCAAGGTTTTTCTGTCGCTGCAGCCACCAATATTCTTCTCTTGTAGTTTGAGAACTTCTTGCAAAACTGGAGTTTATAAAAACTCAGATGAATAGGAACAGGATTTATAATTCCAAAACCAAAAAAAACCCCTGTGGTGCTTTTTTATTCCTTGGCCAAGGGCAGTCTGTGATGTTTCCGTGCCGCGTCAGGCTTTGGGCTCTGGAGCTGGTAACACACGTTTCTTGTGACTCAGGTCTCTTGTAACTTGTGAAAAGCATCCCCCTCCTCTCTTCCAGGTCCTGAGCAATGAGAACAAGCTGACCCTGAAGTCCGTGCGCCAGGAAGACGCCGGGAAATACGTGTGCCGGGCCGTGGTGCCGCGGGTGGGCGCGGGCGAGCGGGAGGTGACGCTCACCGTCAACGGTACCTCCTGCCCCCCATCACCAGTGCCCTCCTCCTGTCCTCCTGCTGCCAAAATACCCCCTCAGAGATTTCCTTTCGGAGGAAATCCCACCCCCAGTTGGACCAGGGAGGGAGGACAATAGGAGCAGAGTGGATTTTTTATTTATTCTCCTGGAGATTCACGAGTTAAAGCAAAAAAAAACCCCAAGGTCAGCTCAGCCCCACGTGGTTCCTTATTACCAACAGAGGTTTATTGAGTAGCTGGGAGCTGGCATCTTTAAATCTTTAATAGATTAATCTTGCAAAACCCTCGCAAGGTCGGAGAGCACTGTTGTCTCTGTTGTACAGCTGGAGAGCTGGGAATTGAGCCTGGAGCTGAGACCAGCAGCCTAATAACTCTCCAACCCACGTGAGGATTCCCATGAGAATTCCTGTGAGGATACCTGTGAGGATTCCTGTGAGGATCCCCCTGAGGATTCCTGTGAGGATACCTTTGAGGATTCCTGTGAGGATCCCCCTGAGGATTCCTGTGAGGATCTCTGTGAGGATCCCTGTGAGAATACCTGTGAGCATCCCTGGGAGGATATCTGGGAGGATTCCTGGGAGGATACTTGTGAGGATACGTCCACGGCTGCTTGGGACTCACCCACCACGGTGTCAGGATGTGCCCCAGACCCACACCCAGAGCTCTGGAGTTTAATGATGCCCTGGCCAGGACCCTGCAGCTGCTGCTAACAAATTTCAGAGCTGGGTGTGCTGCAAATGGTGTAAACAGAGGCTGAATTTTGCTTTCTCTCTCACCTGCATGACAAACCAGCAGGTTTCAGTCCCCACTCACTGTCATAAGAGAAGGAAACAAGCAGGAGGCAGCCCAGGCAGCAACAAGCCTTCATTTTAAACACAGGTAATGCAGATGGGTGGATGCCCCAACCTGGAAACATTCAAGGATAGGCTGGACAGGGCTCTGAGCAACCTGATCTACTTGAAGATGTCCCTGCTCACAGCAGGGGGGTGGATGACTTTTAGAGGTCACTTCCCACCCAAACCATTCCAGGATTCTATAATCCTACAAAGGGAAGCCAAGGGCAACACAGCAGGGGACTGGAAACCAACCACTCCCTGTCTCCGACTCAGCTCCGACTCAGCTCCGACTCAGCTCCTCGGCGCCTGAATCCTCCTTCCCCAGCGGCTGCTGGGCTTTAATTACAATTAAATGAGCTCATGGAAAACAAAGCAACAAATTAGCACAAACAAAGAACCTGCTCCTTCCCTGACACCTACCAGGCACACGGATGCCTCGAATGCAGAGCAGAGGGTTCTGCAGGCTCCGGGAATTCGGAGCCTTCGGCAGAGAAAAGCTGCTCCCCAGAGCTTTGCAGCTCCCACCTGGCAGAGCTGAGGGGGAGCAAATGAAATCCAGGAGTGGGGTTCACTGCCAGGAACCGACTGCCTGCAGCATCCCATCCCACAGGATGTGCTGCTTTGGTGCACCCCAAAGGTGACAGTGTTGGGACATCCCATCATAGGCGTTGGACCAAGGGAGAAGCCCTCACCTCCAGCTCAGGATGGTGTCCTGGCCCCCCAAGTGAGGAGAATCAAGCCCCAGAGCAGCATCCCCAAGTGTGACATCACCAGACAGCGGGGCTTGGCAGCCTGTCCTGCAGCTGGAGCAGAGTTCCAGCTCCGGAGCACAGCTCGGTGTGTCTAATCCAGCTAATGAATTCTGCTGGAAGCCTGTTCTGCTGTAATTCGAGAGGGAAGTTGAATGCCTCATATTTTGAAGTGCTTTTAAATCCAGAGGGTGATACAATTGTCTTGGTGCCTCTCTCCGTGGGCTGGGATTCGTCACAGGAAAATTAGGCATTTAGAAGTGTCTGTTCTGGGCTGGCTGCACAGACCCTGAGCAGGGCACATGGGCTTTGGAGGGGCTGATCCTTCCCCCAGAGCACAGGGACCCCGACTGAGGGATCATCCGACCCAGTCTGAGCCTGCAGTCCCACCTGCACCAGCCCATCCACTCCCAAAATTATCTGAAATCGTGGCACAACGATGCTGAGGTGGGAGAACATCCCCCTGCCCTCCCCACGCAGGTCTGTGGGTACAGAGCAGCCCATCCCCATGGCAGAGCCAAGGCCACCAGCCTGCAGGAGGCAGATAGGATTCAGAGTCTGGTTAGTGGGAAGGAGGATTATGCAAAGCGGCAGCATTTGGCAGGGCTGGAGCAGCAGAGGCACGAGGGAAGGGAGGAATGTGGTGCCATCATAAATCAGCAGCAGCTGGATTTACAGCAAAGCCTCTCGATGCTCCTGACTGCACCCAGCCTGGTCACAGCTCCCACCCTGGCAGGAGAAGCCCCCCAGGATCCCCTTCATGGACAGATCCACAGCAGTACAGTCTGTCCAGGCTGCTGAGCAGGGACACCAACCCTGCCCACCTTGCTCTGCAAGAAAAGGTTTGTCAGAAGGGCTGGACAATTCCAGGTGGCTAATCCAGGGTGTAATTTGCCCAGGATTCACCCCAACAAGGAAGCTGAGCATGCCCAAGAGCTGGGAGCAGGGCAGGGCTGACCTGGCACCCTGCTTGGGCAGGAGCACGTCCTGGTGTCAGGACATGGGATGTGGAGCTGCTGGAGCGAGTCCAGAGGAGGCCACGGAGATGCTCCAAAGGCTGGAGCCCCTCTGCTCTGGAGCCAGGCTGGGAGAGCTGGGGAGGTTCATGTGGAGAGGAGAAGGCTCCAGGGGGACCTGAGAGCCCCTTCCAAGGCCTAAAGGGGCTCCAGGAGAGCTGGAGAGGGACTGGGGACAAGGGATGGAGGGACAGGACAAGGGGGAATGGTTTCCCACTGCCAGAGGGCAGGGAGAGATGGGATACTGGGAAGGAATTCCTGGCTGTGAGGGTGGGGAGGCCCTGGCACAGGTTGCCCAGAGAAGCTGTGGCTGCCCCATCCCTGCAAGTGTCCAAGGCCACGTTGGGCAAGTTTGGAGCAACCTGGGCTAGTGAAAGGTGTCCCTGTCTGTGGCAGGGTGGTGGAATGAGATTGGCTTTAAAATCCTTCCAACACAAACCATTCTATGATGGTGCTTTGCAATATTGGGCAGCACCAGCCAGCCCAGGGCTTCTGCAGGAAACAAGGAGTTAAACCAAACCCTTCTGCCAAACCATTCTGTGCTTGGGAGGAAAGGTTCAGATGGACTCAAGCAGACTGGAGCTAAGGCCATCCTTTCATTCCTGAAGGCTCCTGCTCCAGCCTCCTCTTTTGTGCCAGGCACCAGGACCGAGCAAATAAATCGGGACCGACGGGCTAAAAATAACCTCCCCCAATAGCTCCATCATTTATATCCATAGCAACATTGCTTAGAGCCTTTTCCCTGCCTGTGGGCTGTCTCACACTCGGTGCTGAATGCCAGGCTGGAGACTGGCAGCTTTCATAAGGAGCCAGAGCCTGGTGGAGAATCAAACGCCGGCCGCGAACGCGAAGAGGCTGCGACTTGGTGCTATTATTTCCGGGCATGTTCATCTCACAAATGGTCTTTAGTCATCCACTATTATCATGCTGATAAGCCTTCGACTCTGAACTCCTGAAGCAATAATAAAACCCGAAGCCATTGGCATTTGTGCCATTTAAAATCCACTCGCCTTGGGGAAAATGATCCTTTTAATGATTATTAAGCCATTTTTCTCTAGCGTCACCCAGTCTTGGAGCACTTCCAGAATTCAGAAGTAACATACAACCATTGAAATGGAAAGGAGATGGTTCTTTTGATTATTATTATTTAGGCCTGGCCTTCAGATCCCATCACTGCTCTCGCCTACAGAGGCAAGATCTTTAATGGCTTTGGGACCATCACGTGAGCAAGAGCGTCACTGACCACAGGATCTGATGCCTGATGACCACGAGGCAAAGCAAGGATTCAACCCACCCCCACTGAGACCTTTGGGAAAGCTGGGCTGTCAGCGATGGATAAAGGAGAATTCACACCTTGGGATCATGCCTAGACCAACATCTTGAGCATTTAGGCAGAAAAACATAACGAAGTGTGGCGGGGTTTTTTTGTCTTCTTCGATCAAAAGGGGCACAAAAGTTTCCCCTGACGTACAGCTGTGCCCATTCCATCAAAACAAGTCCTGACCTTCATGCCCAGCTCCTGCTATTCCTGAAGTTGACAGCAGCTCCCTTCCAGCAGTAATTTCCTGAGCTGCCAGAACTGTGGTCCCTGGTCAGTGAATTGTGCTTCACTGAGCTCATTTTCCATCCATCTCCCCTCGGAACAGAGTAGGGAAGGAGGGAGAGGGCTGTGTCTCAGCAGGAAGTGTGGGGGGAGTGTGCAAGTTTGCTGCAGGAAGGGGTTACTGGGATGATTCCAATAGTCAGCTGTACGTATGAATGCACCAGGGGGAAGGATTTGGTGTTTTGGTACATTTTTGTGCATTCTGGAAATTCGTAAATGGGTGATTGGAATAAGAATCAGTCAGGAACACCCAGGTGAATATTTGTCCCCACTTTACCTCAAACCCTTGAGACTTCTTAAAGGAACACATTGGTTGCAGGTCAGGAAAATGGGAAAAGTCCGTGGGGGAAGAATGGGGGAAAATCCACAAGGCTGTATTTTCTGAGAAACCCAGAGACAGACCCCAAACCAGGAGTGACAACCCAGAATGAACACCCAAAATTCGTGAGCTGGGGCAGGAGCAGATGTGCCAGCCCCTGCCTGGGCCCTCTCCCTGCCCTGCAGCCCAGCTTGGTGCTGTTTTCTCTTCTGCCAGCAGCAAGCCACTCATGGAAATGCAAATCTGCTTTAATTAAGGAGGTTATCAAACAGCAATTAGGATCCCAGCTCTTGTGCTGCTCCCTTGGGGTCTCCCCTGCAGGGCTGTTGGAGAGTGAGGGACGCTCCGATCCCACCAAGCCATGATCCCCTAATCCCACCCCTTTTCCCCTAATCCCAGGATGTCACCAAAGCAGGACAAGGACATTTCCTATCCCAAGCTGGCTCAGGTGGTGTTTGGCCTCGTATTGCTCAGAAATCCGAATGGAGGACAAGGTTTTTCCAGCAGAAACCTCTCCACCACATTGGGCAGGCTGAGTGCAGGTGACTGAGGGTGCCCTGAATGTACCAGCTGTGCCTCCTCTGCCCTCCTAACACTTCCTGAAACCCCTGGGGATGGTTGCCTATGGAATCTGGGAGAGCACAGAAGAGGAACCAGGTGGGATGGGATCCTCCTTTGCTTCTGGAGCAAACAGCCCTTCTCAGGGGCCAGGTTCACCGAGGAGAAGGGGACAGGCCAATTTACACCAGGGATGGGGGAGCAGAGATGGGGGATCCCGGGGATCTGTGGAGGCTTTGCAGAAACCCAGCAGAGCCCAAAGTCCCCACTCAATGTCCTTCTCCATCACAGGAGGTGATGGAGGTGTTGCTCCACCCCTGACCCTCAAAGCTGGACCCCGACGTCCCTCTGTAGCTCCACTAACACCCCCATCCCCAGCAGTCCCCACGGGGTGCCAGCAGCCCTCTCCTCTCTCCACAGGGCCCCCCATCATCTCCAGCACCCAGACCCAGCACGCCCTGCACGGCCAGAAGGGGCAGATCAAGTGTTTCATCCGCAGCACTCCCCCACCAGACCGGATTGTGAGTATCCCCCCGGGGCACGGCGGGTGCCTGGCACAGCCCGGGCTGCCCCGGGCTCACCCCTCTCTCGCTTGGCAGGCTTGGTCCTGGAAGGAGAACGTCCTGGAATCCGGGACCTCCGGGCGCTACACGGTGGAGACGGTCAGCACGGACGAGGGGGTCATCTCCACACTGACCATCAGCAACATTGTCCGGGCTGACTTCCAAACCATCTACAACTGCACTGCCTGGAACAGCTTCGGCTCCGACACCGAGATCATCCGGCTCAAGGAGCAAGGTGGGCACTGCTGGGGGGCCGCTGGGGGCTGGGGGGCAGCGGGAATTAGCACCCAGCTGGGCTGTGAGAGTGGGGAGATGCTGTGACAGGCAGGAGGTGCCCAGGAAAGCTCTTGGGATGCCAAAGAGGAACGTAATAAATTAGGAAATTAGGAAGGATGGTAACAATGCTCCAGCCGTGGTAGCTGTAGGATTGCATCCTTAGGGTACCTGGTCCTGGCAGAGGGCCAGGAGGGGGGCTCTGCCTCTGCTTGGTAAGGTATTCCTGATTTTACTGTCCTGCTGAAGATGGAGGGCACAAGATGATCCTGCAACACTTGTTCCCTGTCCCGCAGCATGAGGTGATGCCACTGCCCCAGGCTGGAGGATCATTTATAGCCTTGGAGGGACAGGAATGGCTGCTCTGAGCAGACCCCACTGCTCTGTGGTGATGGCAGTGAGCGGGAGGAAGGCGTTTGGGCTGGTGGAACTCTCCATCCCGGCCACCAGCCACCAATGCCAGCACGTTTTACAGGGCTGGGCTTACCCACCCAGCCTCGAAGCAATTCCCAGGGGGTGCCCAGGAGATTTCCACTCCCAGGGCTCTCCATAGCAAGGGAGGGAGATGGCTTGTGTGAGGAATGCTTAGCTCCTGGAGGAACTCCAGTTCTCCTCTATTTTATTAAATGCCAGGGCAGGCAGGTGGATTGTTCTCATTAAGCCATGATTTATAGGCAAGGCTGGCGTCCAGATTAAATCAGAGCTAAATGAACCCCTTAAAATTAGCCTTGGGCTTCTTCCAACGCAAACAGAGCCAGTGGTTTTTCCAGGTCTCCTGCCAGTCCGTGGGAGCGCTCGGTCCCAGCGGAGGGTGGCCGGGCAGGCTCGGAGCTGAGATCCCACCATCCCTGCCAGGGGATGGGGACATCCCACCATCCCAGGCAAGGGGACAGCCCTGCCCCGGGCAGGGGGACACTGAGGGTGGCAGAGGCCATCCCCTTCACGGGGACAGCCCTGCGGCCGGAGCACGGAGCGGAGCAGGGGCTGAGCGCTCAGGAGGCTGCGGTGGGCGCTTGGGCTGTGCCAGGCTGTGGACACTTGCTTTATTTTCAAACAGGTACGGAAATGAAATCAGGAGCTGGTATTCAAGCAGGTATGGAAATCATGAGCTGACCGTGAATGTGAATTGTCCCCAGCCATTACCACACCTGAGGGCCCGGCATCCTCCTCCTGGCCCCGCAGCTTTCCGGCAGGGCAGGCAGGGCAGGAAGGGGCGTAGGGAAACTGCAGGGCAGTGACTGGGGCAGGACTGGGGATTTGGAGAGGTCAGCAGAGCTCCCCTCTGCCACTGACCCACTCTGCAAACCAACACTTTCTGTGCCCCAGCTTCCCAGACCCCGAGAGGGGGATGATGTTACACAGCCGTGTTTTAAATGCTGCGGAAGTCCCAGAAAGTGCCATTATGGGACAAAAGAGAGGGAGAAGTGCAAGTTTCCAGGGCTATTTGCAGGCATCAGCTTGTTTCAGCATCGTGGGAGAGTGCTGGCCAGCCTCCATTGGCCCCAGAGCAGGGCTGGGTGGATCTTGGAGGAGATGCTGTGGGATGTGCTGCCCTTGTGCCTTCCTCATCCCCTGCCCCAGACCAGGGCTCCTGGGGCAGCACGTGGCCAGCAATCTGCTCCTCCTCAGCCTGCCCCTCCCTTTGGGAACTGTGCTTGGAGGGAGCGGAGGGACTGAGCAGGGAGATAACAAGGCTCAGGGGCTCCAACTCTGACCCCCTCCCCACAAACATGATTTCATACTCCACCCCCCTTCCCCACACCTCCCAAGCTGCTGCCGGGATCTGAGTGGATAAATCAGCTTTGCTGGCTGAGCCACAGTCTGAAATCCCTGCTGGGAACCCAGCTCCAGAGTTTTGTAGGCAGAAGGATGTAATCCCAGCTCTGCCTCCCACAGCCCCTGCCTGCACATCCCACCCCACAGCCTCAGCCCCGGCACGGGCCATCCCTCCTGTCCCAGTCTTTGTTGCGCCCTCAGGAGCTTGGGAAGGATGACAGAGTTGATAAGCCATGGGAGAAGGCAGGAAAATGGGATATAAAACTGGCAGGGGCTGTGAACGACGGCTCTTGGGTTAACTCATCTGTCAGCCTGCTCGGATGCCATTTCTCTTTCTTAATAATATTAACACATTGTCTTCTTCTGCACTTCATCCTTTCGAGATGCTCATTTGTTAACCTGCAGGGCACTAAGGAGAACAGTTGTTAACCTGCTCCTCTGGCTGCCCCCTCCTCTCCCTCCCAGGGGAAGCTGAGGCACAGAGAGGTCAGGGCTGCACAAACTGCAGTGTCCCAGGGGCAGCGGGGACGGGGGAGCGGGGAAGGAGGCCCCAAAACCCTCCCCGGGCTCCTCACCGAGCCGCTTGCCAGCAGCCAGGGGTGGGTCCCTGGGGGGAAAAGCCACCTCTGGGACCTTCATCCCGCTTCATGCTCCCTCTCCTTCCTCTTGCAGAGTCGGTGCCCATGGCGGTGATCATCGGCGTGGCCGTGGGGGCCGGCGTGGCGTTCCTGGTGCTGATGGCCACCATCGTCGCCTTCTGCTGCGCCCGCTCCCAGAGGAGTAAGTGTGTCCCCCTCCTCGGGAAGGGGCTGGGGGAAAACTCTGGGGAGGGGGCGAATCGAGTGGGTCAGGGAGAAGCCAGAGCCTGAATTTACTGACGCGGCACCAGCACGAGCTGCTTCTCATCTTGGTCTTCCAAATGTTTGCTGCTCCAGTGTTGGGAAGGTTGGAACACCAGGCTGAAAGACAAGGAAAAGAATTTCATCCTGGTTAGTGGTGTGCAAGGAGCAGAGGTATTACAGAGATCAGCTCAGGAATGATGGGACCAACAGAGCACTTGGATATTAGGAGAAGGACTCATTTCCTGCCAGGGTGACTGCAGATTCCTCTCCCAAGACAAACACTGGAGCATTGTGGCATCAT